GTGTGTGTGTGTGTGTGTGTGTGTGTGTGTGTGTGTGTGTGTGTGTGGTTTCTCGGTAAAGTTGAGATCATCTGAACTCTCTCGTCTGGTTTCATAAAATCAGCTTCAGTGTTTCTGCGGGCCCTCGAAAAGCCTTGAGGACAGATTTAGATCTGATATTCTTGTAATGACAGCTTTCCTTTTTTGTTGTTCAGTTTTATTTTAAGGCCAATAGAAGGTTTATCCTCTCCGCCTTGTTTAATACAAGGATTCAAAACGTTAGAAAGGCCTCAGCAACTTACCTTGATGAACTAGAATGGCTTTTTTGTACAACCAGGAGCACAAACAATAAGCAACATCTGTCGTGTCGTTGTCAAAAGTGACTTTTTGCTTTTGTGACGATTGCCGCTGAGGGAAAAAGCTGCTTTTTTTTGTAGCAAAACGAACTCTCATTTATTCTTTTTAGAAAAAAATTGTAAGCATCAGCTTTTTCTAAAATTGGTCCGGTCGAGCCGTCAGGTTGAGCTCTGTTTGTTTTTGCAGCTCAGACTGTTCTGCAGAAGTCGGTCCGTGTGGCGTGTTACTGTAACAGCAGATGTGTTTTGCTTCACTTTTTATGGCGTCTGGGCCTCAAACTCTCAGTCCAGCCTGTCTGTGGTCCTGTGCACCTGATGTGGAAACACAGAGCCTGCTGGGAGTTTTGGCACGTCGTTTAATATACAGCACCTCAATTCTGAACAGCGTCTGTAGTGAACACGCTTATCGTGTTGATGTTTTACAGTTCGGATATTTGGATATTCCTTACACATGAAAAGAGAGCTGGGATTCAAACCTGCGTGTTCATCGTTTAATCCCGGAGGATCACGGCACCAGGCACTGCATGGGCGTCTTATGTAAGAGCAGATGGGCCGCGGCTGACTCATGGATTTATGGGCTGTGGGCTTCTTCTGCAAACACGTCCAGGATGCCTCACAAGAGCCGGGGAACCAATGCATGAGTCAGGAGGTGAATAAATAAATAGGTGAATGAATGAACGAGTGAATTAATGACTAAGTGGCCGAGAGGCCAACCGAAGAATGGCTTATTTAATTTTCAGCTTTGACACATGTACAGTGTGTACTTGATGTATTCCAACTGAGGACATTTCAGCAACTTTCCAACAGAGACTGGAAGGCTGCTGGTTAACTTTCTTGCCCCTGAGCAAGGCATTCATTCTCCACAAACCCTCCAGGGGCACAATATTGGGATTGACCTCTGACCTCCATGAAGGAAAGCAAATTGTAGCTCTGTCCGATTTTAGGGACACAACTGTTTCCCTCAGAAGACAAAAGATCTCCTTCCCAGACAAAACGTTCCTCAAACAATTAATCAATTTCCAAACCCCGAGCCTTCTGCTACGTTCCAGACAACACGGAGGTCGGAATTACTCCGGTTGAAATTTCCAACTTCCGACCTCCAAGTGTTCCAGGTGCACGACAGCAAACACAAACACAAAGCACGGCTGAGCGTGAGTTTCTTTGGTAAGTGTACACGCAATTGAACTCTCACCGGAACAGCCTCCACATTTTTTGGGGGCTTTTTTGAACATGTTACCCGAACACTTTTTCTGCAGAGAGGATTACTTTCAGAGATTGTGTATTTTGACATCAGTTTACAAGTAGGAACTCTGACTTTGAGTGGCATTACATTGTACTTCTAGTAGGAAATCAGAAATGTTCAAGGTCTGAATTTGTATGGAGCGCAGCATTACTGTGTGGTAAGGTGCTCCTCAGTCATTTATGATTAGTGCTCAGTACTTTTTTATTAAGGACAGAAATAAGGCTGCAACTTACGATTATTTTCATTGGCAATTAATCAGTCTTTTCTTTTCTCCTTTAAGCGTTTAGTTGTTGGTGGAAAATGTTGATCAGTGTTTTTGCAAAGCTCGAGATGACATCTTCAAATGTCTTGAATTGTCCACGACTGAAAAGGGGAGAGTGCAGATAGATAACGTCCACTGACTGTCAGGATACATTTGATGCCATTTCCTCCTCATGTCTGTGACAGTGAGTGTTCTTAGGCTGAACTGAACAGTAGTTGGGACGACTATAGGACCAGTTGGCAAAGAGGAAACTCTGCAGTATTTTTAACCCACACAAGCATCAAAGCTGCTGACCTACACAACTTTTTTAAAGTCTGGGCACTCCTGGAGAAAATTGCCGAAAAGAAAAACAGAACCCTGCCTCCGGATTTTCCACCCAGATCCTAAAGAAGGTCCTGAACAAGAAAAGTTAAAGATGTAATCAGGACGGACACTGAACCTCTGTCTCTTCTCTGGAGATAAAAAAAACACATTTATTTGACAAAGTCACAAGTAATAAGGATGAAAACACAATAAAGACGATAGCTATATTTCCATTGTGGTCCTCTGTGGAAAGGGCACGAGAAATCTTCAGTGTCTGCTGCACAGAAAAAAATATTAATAATAACAGACGTAATTAATTACTATTAGGAATAACATTTTGTTTAATCTCTTCTAACGCCAGTAAGAAGTCTAGATGTCAAGATTAAAACTGGCCTAAATTTATATGAAAAGTGAAAGAAAAGTAATTTAGGTTACATTTAACTTAACAAAGCTGTCGAAACCTCTTTTGACCTACAAACCACCTAATAAGAGGGAAATGAGCTGAGCGGCCTCTTGTTGTTAACTTCATGTGAGACCGTCAGTCACTTTATTTGAATACTTTTTTTTACCATAAGAAATTTGTGATTTTGAAAATGTGTCGAGTACAGATGCATGCAGGGAGATCGTCTGTGCGAGAAACACGAGCAAGTGAATGAAACACATACTGTGTGTCAGATTTAGAAGAGGATAAAAGCTGAATAGAACATGAGCAAATTGAGTAACACATTTACACATTTACATTTGTGTGGTCTGTCCATCCACTGTGATCACTGTCCGTTTGCACTGATGTGTGAACACAGAGGGAGAGGCATCAGTAGTCAGGAGGAATATTTGGTTTGATTCATAGCAACGCCTCAAACTGTGGGAGAGAGAGAGGGAGAGAGAGGGAGAGAGAGAGAGAGCAGAACATCTGGGAGAGAGAAGCAGAATCTTCTTTTCAGACCACTTGGCAGCAATACACACACGCCTTTCCTCCAGAACCAGAGTGGAGAGGGAGAGAGGTTACTTCAGTTCAACTGAGAGCCAGAGACAGAGAGTGTGTGCGCATGCATGCATGTGTGTGTGTGTGTGTGTGTGTGTATGAGAGGGAGAGAGAGAGAGAGAGAGAGAGAGAGAGAGAAGAGGAGGAGGGTGAATGGTGCACACATTTCCTGCACTTGAGGGTGTGTTTCTGTATCCGTTTAGAACGTTTCAGTACACAAGCGTCTGAGCAGCACTAAAGGAATGAAGAGTGGAAAAAAGTAAAACAAGGAAAACATATTTACAAAATGTATGTATGAAAAGAAAAAAACTAACATGCAACACACAACAAGCAGGTAAATGCAAAGCAACAGGAGAAAGGCTGCTGGAATAATGTGTGGGAATGGGAAAACCATTAACAAAGGAAACAAAGAATAACAAAGAACAAAAGAAAATATTTTGCATGATTTTTTTTCCTGTGAATGTCCCTTTTTTCTATTCTTCTTGTCGGATTTGAATGAGGGTGAAGAGTCTTTATTTGTCTAAGTAATACAACTTTAATACAAATCACTTGTCATGTCTTGTCTCACCACAAGAGGCCGCCGTTTACCCATGATATACACGGTCTCCATTCTTTTCAGTTATCACAGTAATTACCATACAGTTGTAATTACAAGCTGCAATATGACTGTTTGCCAATGAGACTATTCTCAGTTTCTCCCAGTGGGTTTCAACCATTTTCGTATCAAGGACCCCGGAATTAATACACATTAGCACCCCAATTTGATAAGATTTCGCTTCAGGGACCTCAAGTTGAAAACATTTTTGGCTGTCAGATATAACTGTTTAAGAAGTTTCAAGGTTGTTTATTGTAAAGTATTCAAAAGTTCAGTCTCCAGTGCTCCCTGTTTGAGTAAAGTCCATTTTAAGATTGTAACCAAGCATTCAATTGTATGTGTTTGTCAGTGTAGCTCACCTGCTGCTGTTTGTTTGACAGAAGTCAAACTTGGTGAGCGTTATGAGCCTTGTGGATTTTTTTTATTTCAGATAAAGGTTTTCAATAGATATGTTTATGTTTGTCTGGATTCATTTGTCATGTGTTTGTCTGTTTGTGAGAATGTGTTTTTGTGTGGGCATGTTTTTAGAACTTAAATCTGTTT